GTACTATCTTAAAATCTATTCATATGAAATTGCATAATATTAACACTAACAGAACAAATCTACTCAAAATTTACTTGAAAACTCCTTATCAGACTGGAAAAGACACCCGTTTAAAAAATGATCTCTTTTAAAGGTCAACTCAGGATCCACCTTCAGTCTCCTCTCCAGCATACAGTGATGGAGAACATGTGCCTCTGTATTGGCAGCAGTGTCTCAAAATGAGTGGGAACATCTGAGATGCTTTCCCTCCATTCATATCACTTAATTAGATGAATGCTGGATGGGTACAGAGACACAGAGTAAATCCATTAGCTATACATTTTATGAGACTTATTAAATGTTTGGCATAATTCAAACCTGCAGTATATCAAATATAATTTGGATAATAATCCAGTACGCCGGATACAGACAGTCCCTCATGAACCACAAAAATAATAATCACATCAGCAGAAATTATGGTCTCTGAGAGTGCCTAATGTAACCCAAGCGTGCTTTGTCTCAAGGACAGTCTTAGCATCACTCTCTCCCTATTCCCTACTGCTCCACATTTAACAACATTCAGTACTCTACACTATGCAGTCTATAGCCTTTAATGCTGATTTATAAAATTACAAGAGGATAAAAAAAATATATATTTTTCTCATGAAGTTTGAGTGAGGGAATGCACACACCGCCACTTACGACTGCAAGGCTTGACACAAATGGTGCATGCTAAATTCGTTGGCATCAGTAAGTCAAATAACCACAGACAGTAAGCAATGCAATTTAAACCACAAAATGAACAGATTAAAGGGCTGGAAGGCACTCACCATACCTAAAAAGGCAGAAATAGGCAACAAGCTATGCAGCCTTTCCTATTTTAGCATTCTTCAACTAAAATAACAATCAGCTCCCTTTTCTAGCCCGTTAACACAAAATGACACAAAGACAATGTCCAGCAGGATCAAAACAGGAACTGTAATGTCATTTAGCTCACAAATAAGTGCATTACTTTACAGTCTTGACATTTCAGCTCTCTAAGGCCTCTGAGCTGCACTGTTCAGTATTTGACTGTGCCCAGACACAGCACAATGAGTCCCTTCACATGGCCCACAATAAAACTGTCAGCAATAACACATTTCTAAAATCATTTTCTTTGACCTTTAAAACACCCCCTCTCACTATAGCAGCTTTGAGGAGAGGCAGTTTTCTGGTCAGACACCAGTGGAGCATTGAACTAACAAATAAACAGCTTAGAAAGTGGTGCTATTTAGATGCAAAGCAGAGAGCAAGACACTAAATGCGTTCTGAATTGCATGGGCTACGTTGGTGGCGTTTTGAGAAAACTGGGTGATTGCCGTGATATTCTCATATCTGTCATAGATCTGTCAGATGCTGTGGCTGCCTGATATTTTGGCATCTGTGTGCAATGAGACTTACGTTGGATAAAACAACTTATGAGTAATACAGAGGAACAATACATCGCAAAGCAATTTTAATAATAAAACTGGGCTACCAAAAGCACCATCCAACAGGACAATCCTCAACAGCCCTGTTCCTTCACTGTAGGATTGTGCACTTTATATTTACTCTGGTGAATGAATTCAAGGGCTCTCCAAAGCTAATACTGAAAATAAGCCACAAGTAAACATTCGTTTCACTGCAATCCTGCAGCAAGTCATTGCATGGTAATTGTGCAGAAGCAAAGACGGGCTCTTTACCATTCAGACAGAAATCCGTAAGGGGAAAAATCTTATCTAGTAGCTTCACATTGCCTCTCATTCGCTCCTGCTGCCTCAATTAGTTTGTTAATATTGCATTGTGCAGCATAAAGTGCAATCACATCGGTTGTTTACTGGCAGCTGTCGTGTTGATTTCTCAATTTTATTAAAGAAGCCACAGCATACAAATGATTTACTGCAGTACTGTAATCAAACTAATAATCGGTCAGGCAAAAAACATTCTTACAGTATATCTCAGATGGAGCAGGTCATACAATGAAGGACAGTGAATGGCTAGATATATTGGCTATGATGATGGTAGTCTGGTTGTGGTTTCCACATTAGCGGAGCCGAATGGGTAAAGTGACTTTGGAGAGCAAAGCCACCATGAATTGGCTGTGTGATCGCACCATACATCTCTGTCATTCCACGGGCATATGGGCACACGTACGTACACACGTACAGACAGGGTACAACATCCGCTAAACGGGGAAGGTTAAGGTCCAGCACATTGCCATTCATGAGAAGAATTTTAATGGGAATATCCATCCTGTCTTGCTGGGCAATGCCCTTCATTTCCTCTATTAAGTTGGCACAGAGAGAGGTAATGGGCTGCATGAGGTGACTATAAAATGTAGTGAGGGCTCTATAATTAACTAGCATTGCTGCAAAGACAATGGTGAAAGATTCTGCTAACTGTCACATTTAAGCTCTCTTTGTCATCATATGTGACCCTGGAGCACAAAACCAGTCTTACGTCACTAGGGTATATTTGTAGCAATAGCCAAAAATACATTGTATGGGTCAAAATTATAGATTTTTCTTTTATGCCAAAAATCATTAGGATATTAATTAAAGATCATGTTCCATGAAGATATTTTGTAAATGTCCTACTGTAAATATATTAAAACTTAATTTTTGATTAGTAATATGCATAGCTAAGAACTTCATTTGGACAACTTTAAAGGCGATTTTCTCAATATTTAGATTTTTTTTCTCGGCCAAATACCGTCCTATCCTAACACAACATACATCAATGGAGAGTTTATTTGTTCCGCTTTCAGATGATGTATAAATAACAATTTCGAAAAATGTACCCTTATGACTGGTTTTGTGGTCCAGGGTCACATCACATATACCTTAGATCAAAGAACCAGATCTCCGTGCCATTATCAACTGCAATAAGTCATCCAAGTCAACTAGACAGGTAAAGCTATAATACAAAACATCAGGGCTAATACAAGCAATAAGCAATTGTGGTATTGTGTCAATCTGAAATTCTACCAAACTATAATAAGGTTAAAAATGTTCAAGTAATGAAATGTTTAAATAATGCAATACTGAAATATTTCTCATATTCCAACTTGAATACAATCCATTTCAGAGGAAAGACTGAAAACAGAATCTACTGGTTCCAAGGGAAATTATCTTTCAAGAGCATGAGCTGGTTCATTAATACAGAAGTATTTATTACAATTACACAGAATTATCTTGGGAAACACTACATAGGGAACAGCTGCAACATTCACGACATCTAATTGCAGGGAGGATATTACATATTTTGCTTTAATTTCTGTACTATTCATACTACCGAAGCATCTCTAGAAAGACTTTGTTTAAAAACTGATCACACCTGAAAGGAAGAATACAATGGCAAGATCAATGTAAAAAATCATTGACAGGCTGTGCCAAGCCACACATTCTGTCAAATTCAGGATATAGGCAACGTGCTATACAGCAGCACTGACCACAGCCCCCGCAGCTCTCCAATACTCTCAGGCTTATTCCCACCAATTTTATGGGATTGCATCCTCTCTAAGTTCTGCCTGCCACTGTCATTGAAAATGATTAGTGTCCTAGCAGCTAATTTTTTTCCAGGCAGCTCCCTAAGCAGTACTTCTCTCCCTGCCACAGTCTACAGTACTTCATCTCACTTCTGCTGCTTACTATCTGCCCATGAGTCTCCTCACCTGCTGAACATGGTGAAGATGGATGTTGACAAATAGATGGATTCACTGATTACTGGATGTGCAAACAGAGAGATAGACAGATAGATAGACATAGACAAACTAGCATTTTTTTAAAGAATAATGAACCTTTCTAAATATGCTTTGTATTATTTTACCTTGGCATTCAATTACAAAAAAGTATTTAACTGCTGGGAAAACGTTAACGTCTGAGGGAGTGATAATACATTTGAAATCTTCTGAGTGCCATAATCAATCACTCTATATTTTATTTCAAGTTGTGGAAATGCTATTGTGTGTGTGTGTGTGTGTGTGTGTGTCACCAATTTTATGGGATTGCATCCTCTCTAAGTTCTGCCTGCCACTGTCATTGAAAATGATTAGTGTCCTAGCAGCTAATTTTTTTCCAGGCAGCTCCCTAAGCAGTACTTCTCTCCCTGCCACAGTCTACAGTACTTCATCTCACTTCTGCTGCTTACTATCTGCCCATGAGTCTCCTCACCTGCTGAACATGGTGAAGATGGATGTTGACAAATAGATGGATTCACTGATTACTGGATGTGCAAACAGAGAGATAGACAGATAGATAGACATAGACAAACTAGCATTTTTTTAAAGAATAATGAACCTTTCTAAATATGCTTTGTATTATTTTACCTTGGCATTCAATTACAAAAAATTATTTAACTGCTGGGAAAACGTTAACGTCTGAGGGAGTGATAATACATTTGAAATCTTTTGAGTCTCTTCTGAGTGCCATAATCAATCACTCTATATTTTATTTCAAGTTGTGGAAATGCTATTGTGTGTGTGTGTGTGTGTGTGTGTGTGTGGCAAATCAGAATGCAAATATCATATTTGTTACAGAAATTTACAAATCAATGACAGCTTCCACTTCTGAGAAATCCAGAAATGTGAAAAGATCTAGATGGATGGATGGATAGACAGATAGACAGATATATGGATGGATGTGAATATTTATAAAATGATGGCCACACTGATGAATAAATAAATGACAATCAGATGGATCACTGGATAAACTACCAGACAGTTAACTGGACAAACAGACTGATAGCTGGAAATCATTTGCCCGATGTCATTGCCTCACATAATCTACACTGAAGAGCAAATCGACAGTAAACATTCAGTCAGACCTCTGACTGGACTCAGTTGTCTGTCTTTTCTTGACTCGTGAAGGTATGAGCAGCAGACAGCGGACACTGATCACTGCGAGAGGCGGGAGTGAGTGAGCACTTATTGGGGAGGGCTTTGCAGTTGCACTCGCATCCTCACGGTCTCACAAGGACAAAACCAGAAATGTACTATCGCTTACTTTATAAAGTAGCTGGCGCCTTCCTCGGTGAAGCCCTCTTCCCATCCCCGCGGTAAATCTAAGGGGAGAGAAATATTTGTACAATACTCCATTAAGTTTTTAATGAAACAGAAAGTAGCCAACCATCAATTATGCAGAGGACGTGTTTCCAATGTTCACTTTAAACACACTTACCGCAGTATCCGACTAAGGGTGCAAAGTTTAGACTAGCAAGCATAGTTTATTACCGTACCTGATCGTATCATGTGTCCTGAGTTGACAGGTTCACCAGTGCGGGGATGGAGCCAAGTAGTGCCGCGAGTTTTGTCGCTAGAAAACAGAAACACCTGTTACGAGACCCATCGGGAAAGGTGCGGATTCACCAGAACCACGATCAAATGCAACGACTGTGATTAAACCCTTCATAGGCTGCTTACTTGATGAAAAAGACCCTGCCATCCCTACACACTCCGTAGGACCAGTGTTCAGGTAGCGTGTCCCGCCCGAACGGAGCCGCCATGATCCCGGTTTAAAGTGAGAGCTGCGCCGCAGAGTTTCCAGGGAATCGGACAGTCCGATAATCACCACTAGGGCTGCAACTGCTATTAGTGGTTATTGTGCTATGGGAACTGGGAAATTCATGACTGTATTCTGGAAATAAACTCAAAGAAGCCATGCAAAAGTAAATGTGTTTTATTACTAATGTCATTGCAGAAATGCACTATTCTCAGTAAGCCATTATTAAATTATGGATCATTCCCCTTGCAAACATGTCCAAAAATAGAGGATTACAGAGAAAAATTGTTCAGCTGGTCATGCAAGTTAATTAACTATGTTAATTAGGCAATTGGTTCAGTGTAAAACAAAGCAACTCTTTGATGCTACTAAGACAACGAATCGCTCATGTGAGTGTACATCGCTGTAAACATTTTTTAAAAGTGCTCTTGCTTTTATTTAACAGTGCAGAAAAAATCAGAGTGCACCTCTAAGGTCATTCTGTGCAGGCAGCAGTTAATATGGAAGGTCATGATGTTTGTGCTTGTTTGTGTGTGTACCAGGGTGAATAAAAATGACACAGCTGAGGGTTTCAATCTATCAGCTCCGTCACTTATGACCGCCTTTGGCTGCACTGAGAATGAGCCATCTCAACCATGACATTACAATAATGCTTACACTGCGCCAAACTGGACTTGCCCTGTCTCCTCATGCCATCCATACATTTCATCCTGGTATAAGAGGCACTGCTCAAAGTCACACTATACATATGTCAATGTACCACAAGACAAGGACTGTATTAGTGGCAAAGAGGCGACAGTAAAATAAATTACATAGTGTATTCACTAACAATAAATGAATTGTCATCATAAGATTAGTGTGTGTGTTGCATTTTAAAATAGCCTAATAAACATCACTTCATGTTCAGATATGTGGATTTTGATTTTTCAAAGAAATATAATATGGATAAACATGATTTTGTCATGAAAAGACATTTTCCTGATCCTAGTGCATTTGTATAAAAATGAGTTGTCACAAAATATATGAACCAGCACAAATGTTTTCACTGTTTTCACTGATCAAATCAACATATTAGAATGATTTATGAAAGATCATGTGACACTGAAGCCTGCCATCAGTCATCACAGGAATAAATTACGTTTTGAAATAGGTTCAAATAGAAAACAATTCTTTTAAATTGTAATAATATTTCACAATATTACAGTTTTTACGTTTTTTTTTTTTTAAACATTACAAAATAAAAAATTCAATCTTACAAAATCTTCAAAAAGAATGTTGTTGCAGGACCAACAGGAATGTTGATCCAGGAAAATATCCAACTTGGTAAAATCATGGTTACCATATCATATGAACTGGCTGGGATAAAGGCATGGATTAATGGGAATTTTGTGAACCATTTCCCTTGAACAAAACAGGAATTATGCCTTGTATCCCTGATTTACACTCTGTTTTTACACTCTGTTCTCGCCAAGAACAGCCATTTGACTCCAGTTGTGTATCTACATCAAACACTTGAGAGCTGTATAAATATTTTAGCACAGAATCCCTTTGGAGTTGGGGGAACTTTTGTCGGCAAGCCTTTTGTTGGTTTGATGCAACATTTCCCCCTAAGGATGACTTAAACTCAAACAGAAGAGACATTGACGAAACAATGGGAAAAGATGCTTGTGGCTGCAGTAATATTTGCTACAATGGCAGCTGCTGTGGGTTTATTTCTGTTTATTTTCTGACAAATCATTTCAATTCTTTTACTGATCTTAATAATAAAGCATTCAGCTACAAGCATTTCTCCCACTATTGTAATACATAACTAATAGGCTAGATTATTTCGAAAGAAGACATTGGCATTCATATTCATAATCCTAAAACATTTACATTTTTATGTAAAAATGAAACAAAAAATGACATCTGCAGAGGGCACTTTGATATAGTGTCAGCAGTTTTACATAGCCGAGTCCCTTGGCTTTGACTGACACTTCTAAGAGGCGGTCGAGTTGATTTGGGAGTAGCAGCCTGTGACTGACAGAACTGTAACCCTGGGGACACCAGCACCGTGGTGGGACCTGACCGTGTTCCGTGTTGTGGCCCTAGTCCGCCTGAATAAAATGCCATATGCCTCCAACAGAGCACAGCACATGTCCGGCTAATAAGCTTGTTTGAATTAGGGGCTTTCTGTAATACCACTTAAAAGGTCTTCCGTTTACTCTGTCTGTCCCTCGCAGTCGCACACCTTTAGTAATGGAATGCAGTCCTGCGCAGCTCTGCAGTATTGTACTGCTGATGGTTTCCTCACCACTGCCAGCAGCTCACAATGCTGCAAGGTGACTCAGTGTTACTTCTCTCTCTTAGGAGAGGTTCATACAGAGGCAACTGCAGTTAAATCGCTGCTTGCAGAATAAAGTGATCTGCAACAGGTGATTCTCAATACGTCTTCTTCCTCTCTCGTATTATTGCTGCAAATGCGTCATATGACATAATGTACACATCCACGGTGAAAGCACTGCAGGAGCTAGTTTGTGGAAAATGTATGTTATTTCATTTCCCAGTTTAAAATACCTCATCTCAGTGATGTGACCTCTATTAGTACTAGATGATTTTTAATCAAACTGAAAACGAGTTATGGTGCCGTTCATAATAGACCGCCAGAGCTTTTCAGAAACTGCTTAAAGCGATGATTTAAAGGCTTTTTGTATAAAAGCCAGACGCCATTAATTGAACAAAGATGCAAATCAAGTTTTTAAAGGATATATAAAGGTGTCGGTTATGAAAGGCTGACTAAAAACATCCTTAACCAGGACATATTTTCACATACTTAATGTCCATTTGCTTTGCTTATTAAAAATACCCTGTACACCAGGTGACTATTTTTAATAGATTATTTTCTACGGCATCGATTAATGCAGACAATACAAAATTAGCAATTTTTTGGAATATTTTTTATTACCATTACATTTCAAAAGGTGAGCACTGACCTCTAACGGACAAGATCCTTAGCGCTGTCACTTATTCAGTGTATCAACATGCAGCACCTCATAAAGAACCCAGTTTTCCCTCTCTAGTCTTTCTCTGTATGAAGTTACCAGTCTTAATCTAATTTAACAATTTCCTTAAAATAATTGGCATGTCCTTATATACTAATGACACGCACATAGCGAGTCATCTAGTAAACTTTTATAAACTTACTGAGCCATGCATATATTCCTCAAAACAGTAGCTTCTCATGATCCAGTACAGGTGCACAAACATTTGTGTTGACTTTTTCCTAACAAATAATGACATACATTTTAATCTGGGTGCCAGCTAGACATGTAATTAGATCTCTGGCCTTTCCTTTAACTTAATGTCCATGAGACAACACCTAATATATCAACATGCCTTTCTTTCCATTTTGAGCAATAATTTTAACTCATTTATTCTCAATGTTCTTACACGGTCAATAATAGAAAAGCATAATACACATGCACTACAAAACGCTGGCCACAAAACTTTTTAAATGTCTGTAAAATGATCATTTAAACTGAAAAAAATAATACTCAAGATTTACAAATCTTTCCAACTGCATCAACCATAAAGGAACTTTGTTTGAAAAGAGCTAAGTGAATATTCAGTTATGATGGATTCTGAATGAGACGTTTACGTGAAGGAATACACATATGTAACCTCTGTATTCTACTAAAAAAATAATGCAACTGCAATACAGTTCTATACCCAACTGGAGTAAAGCAAATCAGTCTGACAGAAACAACAGACAACATGAATTGATTCAGATATTTTATTTGTCCAAAAACTGCAAATTTATGCCACCAGTGCAGAAGCTGTGGAGGATTCGCTGTGGATGAAAACAAACCAATCCGATAAATTCAGGAAAAACACATTTTTGAAAGAAAATTTGTTTTTTTGTGTGAAGGGGACTGGCAGTGCTGGCACAATAAAGCCAAACTGCTAATTTACCTCCAAGGTTTATCTAGCACATTAGAAATATCTCAGTTCTTACAAGGGAAGAATGGGACAATGAAATGTGCACTACATATTAGCGAAAGAATTTCTTGTAATGTTGAAAAAAAGTCAATCAAACACTCACTACTTCCAGTTGGGGGCAAGTACTCTCTTGGTCTTATAGTAGCGGGCAAGCCTGTGGATTCTGCTCTCAACCAGAATCAGGCGGAACTTGGCATCCCTGTCCTGCAAGACCACAAGTGACAATGAGACAAAACAGCTGAAAAGCATTGGACTGATTCTTCCTCAAATCTTCCAAAAATGATCGTCTGCACTGTAAAGATGCAAGTACATGATGTAATATGAATGACCGTTTCATTACCTTTCTGTTCCTTTCCAAGTGCTTCCTCACAGCGACAGCCTTCTTGATGAGGTGGTAGAGATCCTCAGGCAGGTCAGGGGCCAGACCTTTGGACTTCAGGATCCTAAGGATCTTGTTGCCAGTGACAAAACGCACCTGAGCAACACCATGGGAATCCCTCAGGATCACACCTAATGAGAAAATGGCAGGTGATATTAGTTCCATAATGAAATTGTGCAGACAGACACAATACAGACATCTAATCCACAAATATGAAAACACACGATAGAAAAAAATAAATACAAAATGTATAAGCATCTATAATTATGGATTAAAACAACAACAAATGAACATAGAAGCATTCTCTTCTACTGGAAAGCAGCTCACAAATGTCAAATGTGCCTCCGCTGTAACCATTTTACTAATTCCATTTATTTTATTCATATTAGTTTGTTTCCTTTAATGTTCTTGATTTCAAACTCGTCTTTGCATGATCACGGTGTACAAAAAAACGTGCTATAAAAATCTTGTGAAATTGTTATCCAATGGACCTGACTGCACTTGGTAAGATTCATTTGATATCAGTAAGAACTTACCAATCTGTGAGGGAGTCAGACCCTTCTTGGCCAGTTTGAAGATTTGCTCTTTAACATCATCAGATGTCAGCTTGAGCCACTAAAATACAAAATAATTGACTTTTAACAGCCTTGGCCATTTAGATTTGCATTCTTGTTCCACACAAATCTGAATCAGTGGACTTACTGTGGGGACACTTCGTC